GTAAGGTTGCCATCCTTCCAGTTTCCAAAAAAAAGGACACCTGGGCCGGGTAGCTGATTGTGATGTGCTTGTGCCCTGCCTCTCACTCCCAAGCTACAGCCCCTCCTCCCCGCTGCTGCCCCTCACTCCCGACCCACAGCCCCCTGCCCATGCTGGTGCCCCTCCCGCACAACCCACAGCTCTCCTGTCCCTGCTGATACCACTCATTCCAGACCTGCAGCCCCCTCTTTGCACCCAGAGAGCTCTTGGCCACGCCTGCCTCAGCCCTAGTGCAGGCAGACCCCCCCCCCCATGTGTGGTAACCCCCTGCAGGAGAAAAATGGCTGTCTAGCTATAAAAAGAGCCAGTGTGAAAGTAACAGCTGTGTGGCCAGGATGGATTTGATGTAAATCACTTGTTTATAGCCTCTATTTAAGCATTGTTTTCCACCAGAAAGTTGTTCATTCTTGTTGTTTGATGTCCTCTGCATTCAACTTGAAACTTAGCACTTTTACAGCAAGGTAAGGGATTGACTCTGTGTACACAAACTTACAGAGATTCAAGAGGGTTCACGGGTAGGTAAGCAGGTCTCTCCTCTTCATAGACTGCTGCTAACAAGGATGTCATCTCTGGAGACACAAAGCCCGAGGCAGAGAACTGAAGCTAAGCATCACAGAGATGCTTAATGGGATCTTCTAGACTGAGCACTGTGCCTTTAATCTTTACTGCTCTATAGAGGAGCCTTTGGGAACCCCATAAGCTTGGGCCCCTAATATAGTCCATGGCCTGTTGTTATCTATTTATAAAACTTCTCTAAAAAGGTTATGTGAATATATGGTCTCAGATTTAGAAGTTATAATCCCCATTCCATGGTGATATCTTTGAGCTTTAACATGAATTAAAACTAACTTTATATAGGCTTGTTTATTTAAGAAAAGCATCTTAACAAAATGCATAAAAATACAATTAAATTAAAAAGTCTGGTTTAAATTAAAAAATCTAATTTTTTTATTTTATTTTTTTTAATCATTGGTTTTTATTCACCCTGTAGTGTAGCTGCTTTCTATTCAGCTCTGATTTGAACAGGGAGCAGGGCCCTTAGGCAGTGCTGGGGGACTCCTAACAAGAGCTAGACCTTCATTCCACTGGACGGACCCTCACAAACGTGCTCCAGATTGGGAGGGATTTCGGAGTCACAGTGTATTCAGTCCCTCACGTTCACGTGGAGTTGGTAGCTTGACGGAGGAGAAGGTGCCAGGCTTGAAACAAAAGTGTCTGTTTCTCGATTTCGTGCGCTCAGACATTTGGACCAGCCCACTACTGATTTGCAATAGGTCTGAAACCTCAGTTGGCTGTTCCAAAGGATTATTTTGTTTTTTTTAAATATACTCTGTTTCTGTCTGAAGCGTGCCTTGCTGCCAAGTTCACTGTTTCAGAAACGTTTCTTATGAGGTTGAGGGTGAAGGGGTTTATTGGCAGCCCAGCCTGCTGATGGTCTCCATTGTGGTGGGGGTTCTTGGTCAAGGAGGCCTTGGTGTCAGGCTATCTGGTTGCCAATGAGCTAGTCTGAAAACTCTTAATGTGATGTTATCCTTCAGATAATATGTCTGTATTTGATTGCAGCGAAGTTAGATATTCCTCCAGATCAGATGTAATATAAAAACCTTGGTCTGAAGTTGCGGGACTTAGCATGGTAGAAATAAGGCATAAACTGGCAATTTATGCTACTTGGTTGAGTGTGGTGTATACCAAAGGAATATTTTATGATGTGTGTAAGCTGCACAGCTAAAATCTGTTTTAACAGAATATATTTATGGATGAAGGGAAAAAGGTGTTTTCTTTGATAAGAAAAACCATAAGCCTTCAAGAAATAGATGTTACAGAGGGCCCTGCTACATAGTCAAATTAAAGCTAGATAGAAATCAGTTTTAGAATTGTTACATATTTTCACACATTCATTATATAGCTGGTTGGCTCTCTTTATAGCTAGGTGGTCATGTTTATCATGTAATCATTACTTTGCATGTGTGTCTGGTCTGAATTGCAGAATAAACCAGTTAATTTTGTGATAATTGCTTTGCACTTGTGGCCAGTTTTACTTGGCATGGTCTAAATTTGTTGCAGGATTAACCAGTTAATTTCATAATATATGTATGTAACTTGTAGCAGGAAGGAGCCAAAAATGTCTACAGGCCGTAATCAGGATTGGAGCTCTAGTCCTAGTAGAACACAGAATATAAAGACATTTGCTAACTGAAGAGTTTACAATCTAATTAACACAAGATGCAGTAAATGAACATACTCTCACTCTGGGAGAGAAATGTGTGCTGGGTGGGAACAAGTAGTTACATAGGATAAATAATGCAGAAAATGCTAATTTTGTGTTTCTCTTTATTTTAGAAAAAACGTGGAAGATTTCACTGGGCCTAGAGAAAGAAGTGATCTGGGATTCATTACTTTTGACATTACCGCAGATATCCTTAATGAAAACATTCTGTTATCTTAAGTATTTACAAGACAAACTACTGTTGACACTTTCTTACTTTCTGCGATCATAATGTATCAAATAATCCTATGATATCTGAGCAAGTGTTCTTAAAGAAATGAAGAGTTTGAGGGGGAAGTAAGCATTATTTTTTGAAAGCTAAGTTTAAAGTTTATGCAAGGGAACATGGCCTGCTGGCTAGACCCCTGGGCAAAGACTCAAGACTTGCTTTTTATCCTGTATGATCTTGGGTTTGTTTAGTATAGAGAAGACTAAGGGGGGCTCAAGCTAACAGTCTTTAAATATGTTTTAAAAAACCCAAACAAACAAACAAAAAAACCCCAACCTAAATAAAGTTATAAATAAACATTAGGCAAAGTATTTAACATACAGGTTGCAAGTAGAGCAAAAAATGTGTGAAGTGGCAATTCTGAAGATATAGCATAAAGCCTGTATATCCCCAACTATTTAAACAATCAAATATAGTTGATGTTTTCATCATCACGAAGAAGGATCATACTACTTGAACACAAATTTGCTTGGAGCAGTAATATTTTGCACAAAGAGCTAAGTTAAAAGATTGCAGAGTCAAGCACCAAAAAGGTAATGCCAAAATTAAGGTTTCTTGGCAGGCTTTATTAAGTCCCATTGTGCTTATGATACAGTCTTCAATTACATTATTACATATTTTTCCCATAAGACCCTTGCCTTATGTAGTACACAGAATGGTTTGTGCTTGCTTAATGAAAACCTTTTCAATATTTTCTTTGAACCTGTGGCCTCATACCTTATTTACTGCACTCTGTTCAAACCCTATTCTGAAGCCAGAATTAATCATTTCCTTGTGGTCTTTTCAGTGAGTCTCTTGACTATAGCATCTAAGGCCTTCAAAAATATGAATTTATTTTCACAACACCCTTATGAGCTAAGTGATTGCTGGTATCTCTGTTTTCCATAGTGCAAACTGAGATGAAGGGCAAAAGTGTCTGGGGAACCTAGTTGTAATATGTAAGATCTAGTTTTTTTCAGTATGTTTAGTACTCATTACATTCAAAGCATTTTTTTCTGCTCCTTTTCTTTTCTGTTCTGAGTGTCTAATGTCCAGAGCTTCTGTTAATTAGATCTTAGAATGTTAAGGGATATGAAGAAAACAATTAGTGATCACATTTGAAAAATTTGACTGAAGTGACTTGTCTAGCAACACACAAGAACTGTGTGGCTGTGGTAGGAATAGGATCAAATGCTTCAGTGGAACATTCAGCTACCTTAAACATGAGAGTAGTCTTTTCCTTTCTGTAATCCATTGTTTCTACTAAAGAATGAAGGAATATACCACAAACTGCTTCCTTTACTATGTTACTATTGTACCCCAGCATAGGTCTATCCTATCAACAGAGTGAAGCATTTTCTAATCCTTGGCTTTTTTAGACTTCATTTTCTTGCATTGGTTTTGGTATTTCCTATACTTCCAAAATTAAACTCATAAAATGCAGAAAATGAGTTGTGTTACTGCCATTTCAGCTAATGAAATAGCTGATAAATATTTGTCCTCTATGTGAACTTGTACTTAAGGGGTATAGAGAAGGATTTCAGGATATTGGTATATCATACAAAAGAAGACTAAAATTTTGACTTAAGTGTAGCAAAACAAGCTGAGAGGAAGTATGATTGCTCTCTGTAAATACATTGAGTAGTAAACGCTAGGGAGGCAAAGCTATTTAAGCTAAAGAGTAATGTTTGCCTGAAGCAAATGGATGTAAACCATCCTTGAATAAATTCCGGCTGAAATTTTCTAATCAGCAGATCAGTGAAGTTCTGGAACAGAGTTTGACTAGGAATAGTGGAGACAAAACAACAAAAAAAGTTAGAATGGAGCTTAAACAGTTTATGATGTAGTTGCCTGTGATGGCAGGGCCTTGGACTTGGTGATCCCAGTCTGTTATACAAGCCGAGGACAGTGGGCTTGAGCCCACACAGAAAGCCATAAGCCCCTCTCTCAGGGAAGCCACTGGATGCATAACAGTTGAGTACTGGGAAAAAAGAGAAAACAGGAATGGGCGTGTGGGTCATAGGTTAATAATGTGCATTCCAAGTGGGGGTGAGCAGAGCACACTTCCCCTTGAATGAGTCCAGGGAACCTATGGATGTTGCCCTGTTAAACTGTGCCTTGAAAGGCACAGAGGAGGGACAGGAAAATATTGCTGCAGTCTCCCATTTGAGTAAAGCATTGTACTTTCTCCCTTGCTTTGGGAGGAAAGCTCTTTACAGTGCACAGATTGTGTCGTGTAGTATCAAAATTGTGAGAAAAGTTATTAACTTGTAATATCTGTCAAAATACTCATTTAAGCCTGAAAGCCTGTTTGGCTAGTGTGGTTAAGGCACACCATCATCTTCAGCAACCAGTAGTATGGCCAGTATCCCCATCAGAGCTACCATTGACTTCAAAGACTGAATGACCGGCAATGGTCTTTGGACAAATCCGAAGCAGTCCAGACTCATGCCAGACACCTTACCCATTCTATTATGTCCCTTTGCAATATCATATACAAGTCAAGACATGTAAGAATGGCTTTTGTGCCTTTATAGAGAGTGTGAATAGGAAAGCAATAAGTAATTTCATAAATAATTCAAGCATGTTTTAGAGTGCCCTTCAAATATTTATGGCTTGTAAATCTGATGACCTCAGGTATATTGAAGTGAAAGAAAATACTTTATTATAGTTATGTTCTACTGATTGATGTTGAAAAGTTGGTGGTAATCATGGTTAAACTATAAAAGCCTGGTAACGCATTTTCCTTAACTTGCACACATTTGCAAACCATATTTGATTGGAATGTTAAACAGTTATTTCTGTATTTGTCTGCAGAATATTCCACAAAAAACAATGTAAGTATGACAAAGAAAACTTTAAGTATTATAAACGTTTGACTATTGAGATATTTAACATTCTGTAGTTGCTTTAAGAAAAATGATGGTACAGTAAAAGCTGCCTTAACCAGCACCTTAAAAGCTGGCATGCTCCAGTAACTGGCATGCTGGCTTGTAAGGTAAAAGCGAAACCGGAAGTGTCCACCGTGGCACTTCTGGTTTCGCTGAGCCCCCACAGCCTGGGGCTTCGCTGCGCTGCCAAGCCCCCATGGCCCGGGGCAAAGCAGGATGCACGGGGCCCGCATCCCTGTCCTGCGGGGCTGTCAGGAGAGGCAACAATGCGGTGGGAGGGGCGGCAATGCTTCAGACACGGCAGGAGAACCAGCAGCCCGAACAGGCAAAAACGCCTGTTTGGGCCCCTCAGTTAACTGGCATATTTTGTTATCCGGCACTCCACATTCCCCGTGGGTGCCAGATAACAAAGCTTTTGGTGTACAAAGATTTCATATTACATTGGCTTGGTCTCTGCAATTCTTGCTTTACTGACAGTTTGCTATTAAGCGTTCCAAGTTTTCTGCAGAGTGATTCGTTAAAATTGGAGTTCTGCAATTAAAATGCCAGTACAACCTCCTTCGTAGTCATTTGGTACTAATGACATGTAAACAGCTTTGAGAGCAGCAGTTTTGGTTAATTAAAAGGGTAAATTTCTCTTCAGATGTTCCCAGAAATACATTTTGAAGACTACAGTGCTCTGTAGTTTGTTTGTTTTTAACAAACCTTGAATTTCATTCTGAATATGCTGGTAGCACAGCACATCCTGAAACAGCTTTTACAATTATCAGTTTTATTAGAAAGATATGAGAATCCATTATCTTGTTTCATGTTTCCAAAGTTCTTCAAATAAAAAGTAAACTCGTATAAATTTATACATTATGATTATGTATTTTATTTCCCTGTTTAAATTGTAGCAGATAACTTCTAAATTATAAGTGATCCAAAACAGTAGATGATCTTTATTAGATGTAACTAGCTCAGAAGAGATGCATAAATGTAATCTTATGACTTCAAGACACCTTTTATATGTGAACATGATTCTAAAAGGATTATATTTAAAACCCGAGTACAATGAGACTCCATTATAACACCGATGATAGTAATAGAGTATACTCATTTTTTGTACAACTTGAGTCTGTCATTTGGGACAATATGTGAATGTTAGAGTCTCTAAAACAGTTTTTCTCTAGCAGTTGCATTTGTAACTAAAAATTAGCATCTTTAACCCATCGTACTTTGCATTATGTGTCTTCAAAGTATGTTCTTAAAATAAAGTTTTGTTAGGCTTTTTTGGACTATTCACTGGCTTTTAAGTTGTTGCTATTCATTGTCTCTGTCATTTTTCAATATTTCCTTGGCAACCTTTTTTCCTTGTAAGACATAGCTTTATTAAACTAATTTTATGGATGACAAGTACATGCTGTGTAACTTCTTGAATCAGTACTGCTTTTTAATTTCCAGTGATTAGGTATGCTTCATTAAGCTAGCTTGGTGACTTCATTTTTATTTTTATGCATAGGCCCTAAATCAAGTTGTCCTTTGGGATAAGATCATCTTAAGAGGAGATAATCCAAAGCTGTTGCTGAAAGATATGAAATCGAAATACTACTTCTTCGATGATGGAAATGGTCTCAAGTGAGTAAATCGTTGCATTTGTTTATTTTCTATCTTACATATCTAGTTCTATGCCAGGAAAATAGAACATTGAATAGAATACAGTTTAAGTACTGTTAGATCTTCATGGATTATCTAAGGGATGTGTTTTGTCACAGGACTCCCAACCTACCAAGGCCTATTTCTGTTTCAGTGGGCTAGGAAAATAGCTGACTAACAGAAGCAGGTGGCTGCCAAGTTTTGGCTTTGGTGTAGAATTGGAAGTCTTTGGAGAGTTAGTCCTTATGATGAAAATAATCATATTAAAACTAAAACCCCACTGTTTCTGGATCACAGAATGCTGTTCATGTTTAAGTTTACTTATTTTGTGTCACTTGCAATTATCTCTGCTGATGATCCGTTTTGATTTTGCAGGGGAAACAGAAATGTCACTTTGACTCTCTCCTGGAACGTCGTACCAAATGCTGGCATTCTACCTCTTGTGACAGGATCAGGACATGTATCTGTTCCATTCCCAGATGCATATGAAACAACAAAAAGTTATTAAATTATTATACTGAATCCTAAGCAACATATTTTTATACTTGTATATTGTGGATAAATTTTATCACGCTTTCCCCTTCTGTCCCATGCAACCTTCTGGGGAAAGCTAATTGAGTTCTTGGGGTCTAACTGAACTGAAAAAGAAAACACATGGAAATGATTTTTTTTCTTTATTTTAAATGCAACATTGATGCTGAAACTTAAAGGAAAGGTAAATTGACAATTTAAAATTTTCGAAAAATAGACTTTTTGTTGGCAACCTGTGTAAAGAACTACCTTTCTTATAAATAAACATTTAAAACCATAAAACAGTCTGATTTATTCTAAATGCACTAAGATTATTTTCATATAGCACAATGAGCCCAATAAGCACATTCCAGTGCAGTCAGTTTTAGGAGTTTTCTGCAGGGTTATAGTCAGTATGACTTTTTTAAAATTTTTACCCCCATAATAGCTGTATAGTATGCTGCAGTAGGATAGATTGTTTTCTTTCTAATATCATCAAAAGGTGTCCTGTAGACATTATTTTTTATTATCTGCAAGGCATTGGATAAGTCAGAGTACCACCGATTTACTAAGAATTTATTTTTAAAAAGGTTGTTACTTAAAAAAACAAAAACGTTAAAAGCTCTTTACAATTCAGATAGCAATAGAGTTCATAAACAACTCCCAACAGTGAAGAAATAGTTCATCAGATGTAAATTGTTGTGTGATTGTGGGACTTAACTAAAAGAAAGCCTAAAAGTTAAAGAATGTACTGTATAGTCTCCAGACCTCTGCTAACATGGCTGTGTTGGCTGTGATGTGGAAAGGGGTGGTTCCTTGGAGATAGAGGGTGTCAAACCAAATGAGTACAGTGGATTAAAAGGAGGCAGTGATGTTATACCAGCTATTTGATGCTGTGATGCAGCGCTTGGCATGCCTGTCACTTGTAAGAGCAGAGGATACCTGGGAAGTAGCCTGTAGATGGCAAGGGGGGCTGATTAGGCAGTCAGCTGACCAGAATGGGGCCAGGCTTGAGCTAGATAAACTCAGAGCCTGAGCTGGTCCAGGAGTTTACCCCTGACTGCCACCGGGAGAGGAGTTCCTGGCAGCTGGGATCCTAAGATCTCTAGCCTGGGGTAAGCAGCACTGAGGCCTGGAGCTGCCAGGCTTTGGAAGGGAGAGGACTGAGAGCAGAGGGGCCAGGGGCCCAGCACTCAAGAGGAGCTAGCCAGGCCTTGGAACAGATAGGTCTGGGGCCCAGTAAGAGAGTTTGAGTCCAGGAAGGACTAGGTACTTGGGGAGAACATCTGGTGCATGGGGGGGACCAGGAGGGTCTGATACCCAGGAGGACAACTAGAATGCAAATGTCTGGTGCTTGGGGGAGGGGTGGGGGACAGACCAAGGGAGTCTGGTGCCCAAGGAAGACTAGGGTGCATTGAGGTGGACTCCAGTGCCTGGGGCCTGCTAGAGGTCAGAGGATGGGGCCAAAGGGGCTGGAGCCCAGAGGGAGAGTGTATGTTAGCTGATAACCTGTGAGGCATGGGAGTGAGTGTTAGGAAGGATGGAGCCCATGAAACAATCACTTAAGGCAATCACCACAAGCACCTGTGGTTGTAAGAGTAAGACCAGGCTCCGGAAGCCCTGGGGCAACCTTCCTTTGATCAGAAATTATTAACATCAAGGCATAGTAGGTGAGCAAAGGGACATCAGGTTGGCAAGGGCTGAGTTAGCACCAGGGGGCATTGTGACCACCCTGGGAAGAGCGTTTGCTATATAGTTTGCTAGCTGCATGGTGGCATGCTCTTACCTTGATGGAAGTGAAGTATAAAGTAAAGTAGCTTAACAAACGCTCAATAAACCTATTGTAATTTGCCTTTCGCTTACCCTGGGTAGGAGCAATGAAGAGTACCTAAGCATAAGTCGTTGCCCCCTTCAACCTCTAATTTGTTAGTTTGCTCATGCCCACAGTTTTGCTGGTAGAAGCTCTCAGTATAAAGGTAGCTATCTCAGCACAACTGATTTTATTGGTACAGTTTGTTTTGCCTGGAGTGAGGGAGTGGATTTTATAGTAATAGAATAAAGCACAGCTTTACAAGTATAGCCTTGCCCATCACATAGGAATTTTTTTTAGATCAATGAAAAATTCTTACTGTTGACATTACTGAAGTGCGCAAGAGTTCTGTCAAATCTGTATTAAAAATAAATTTAAAAGTCATCTCTGAGTACAGATGATACTCTGCATTGAAATAAATTAATTTTTATTTCTTTTAAGACTAGAAAGCAAATCATGAGTACTTCAGAAATGTTTCAGTTTTATGTTTTATTTCTACAAGGGCAAAAATAGTAGTTGAATAGAAGTATACAGAAGGATTAATTGTGTATAGAATATAAATTGCCCCCTATCTTTCACAGCTTTATAGTTTGAAGCATAAGGAGACTGTCAATGAAGTTGGAAAGCTGTAATAATCTGACCCAAGGAAATACATTGTTATGATTTGCATATGAGCGAAGTATATGAGGATTAAGATTTATGTTAATTTTAGTTATCTATTTAAAACAGTGGTCCAAAATTAAGGCACTTGGAGTGACCTGAAAGAAAGTTTCTTGTTAGATTAATCCTTCAGAGTCCATCGTGATGTATTTTTACCTTTCCCTAAAATACAGCATATCTGTTTAAGTGCATAGACTCAGAACTTAAGGAATTCTATGCACATATTTATGGTACTGGCAGCTTTGAAATTGACTGGCTCCCAAAATTTTCCAGTACTCTGCTTTAAAGCTGCTATTAAAAGTTTTGAAAATGAGGAAAAATTAACTTCTTCCAACTTCAAGTCTTCTATTAGAAGCCCTGACACTTACTTCCCCTTCATTCCTATGCATTGAACTGTAACACAGTTGCAGTAAAATGTGCCAGCTTTTAACAATCCCAACATCAGGGACTGGGTTTCGTTTTCACTGTGCTGCGCAAATTGACAGTAAATAGACCAATCCTATAATAGTGAACCCCCCTTTTTAAATTAACTTTTTCTCCTGTATGTTATGCAGTAGGCAGTGGGGCGGAAAGTTGCTTGTGCACTTTAATTAGTTAAGTAATATGCAGATGACCAGTGTTTTCTTATACTGTAAGCAATGGGTAGTCAATTGGGATTGTCTTTGTTTTATGCACTTATATGCTTACTACAAAAGTGCAAAATTCACATAAGTGGAGCGTACTTATATGAAGTCAGTTATATTAGACACAAGATAATACCATGTTGTTCCTATTTACAGCTCAACCTTTTGTCCCCTGAAAGAAAACCATAAAAAAATCACCCTGTTTAACAGACAGGATCAACTTATACTCAGAACAATATAGTATCTAGATTGCCCACTCATCTGATCCTCAATAAATGGAAGTGTCCGACCCGCCTTGTGCCTCAGGCTGGATCTGATCCCTGGGGCTCCTCATGGGAGAAATCTGGCCCCAGGAGGCTGTAAAAGGATTGGTGGAGCTGGCAGTGGCATCGGAGCAAGCAGTGGTGGGGCATATGGAGCTGTCGGTCACACTCTTTTCCCCTTCCCCAGCAACCTTGCCCTCAACTATCAGCAGCTGATGCAGATGATAAGAACTGTGATCCATTATGAACTCACTTGCTCCTCTTCCCCAGAGTTTCTAACTTGTTTTCTTAAACCTTACTGGTACTTTTAAGTAGCCATTGCCTTGATTTCCTTTGCATTTCTGGGCCTCCTTTACTAGTTGACATTGAGACTAGATACAACTAGTTAAAGTGGTCTGGTTGAAATACAGAAAACCACCCAGGAATGAGATAATGCGGGTAGAGAACAAGCTGTGACTTAGGGTGCCAATCTACATTTAAATAAGCTTGTTCAGGTCCTGTTCAGTGCAGGCTGCAAAACCCAGCCAAGAAACTGGTTAAAAACTTGGGTTTTTGTGAATTCCATGCCACTGTCACTATGTTGCCAGTAGTCACTGAACAAGCTAATTTCAAGATAGCACAGCTAGATATATATAAGTAAGCTAATTTTCAGTTGAGTCCCAAATCAGAACATAAATGGAAGAAATGAGGCTGAGCCAGAAGAATACGTACCATTTTGTGATCACTACTGATGAAGAAGCTAACCCAGTCTATTTAAATTAGGTCACATAATGACACAAAACTAGTTAAACTGTAAAATGGCTTGGTATAAGCAAAAGACGTGGTAAAAAACATGCACAAAGTCCTTGCAATGGTTAGACAATTTCAAATTTTACCTTTGGTTTCACTGAATATCCTTTCCTTTGGTTCTGAAAAGTATTTTCCCTAAAGCAGTGTGGCTGTAGAGATCTGCCTTGAGGGGTAACATCACAGAATGGCTTGACATTCCTCAAAGACAATGACTCTATCCAAGCTAGATGGAAATAGCACTTCAAGGCACTCCTGAACCATGAGTCAACTGTAACAGATGCCTCCATCGATTTTCATCCCCCAGTAGGATCCCTCCCCAGCCCTCCTATCCTAGAAGTCCAGTGTACCATCAAAGAAACAAATAACAAAGCTACTGTACTGGATAGCACGCCTGCTTAAATCTTAAGGGCTGATGGTGAGGAACTGGCACTGAGACTCAACAAATTTATTCTTCAAATTCAGAACAATGAGGACCTGAAATTAAGTATGTGTGTGGGAACTCCTCCTGAACTGTCTTCTACCTTTTGCTGAGGAAGTCCTTTCAGAATCTGTGTGGTTTCTGACCATCATGGATGGGCAATTGACATGATTTTTGTTGCCTGCCAGGTCCAGAAAAAGTGGTGGGAACAACGAGACCCCCATATGGCTTTTACTGAGGCTTCTCCATGACCAGATGACTGTGACCATTCTTTGCAGCAGATTGAAAACCAATCCATTTGCCATCCAAACTAGAGTTAAGCAAGTATGCATCATTGCCCCAATTCTGTTTTCAATTTTTTTGATTGTCATCATGGTTCTTGTTAAGGACTGTCTTCCTTCCAGAACTGACACTGAATACTAAAAGGATGTTTGGGATGTTTTGGGGATATTTTTGCTCACAGACCAAAATATTCAAAACAACCATCTTTGGCCTTCGATGCACTGACAACTGCTCTATCCTTTATTTCATTTGTTTACTCTTTGCAGAAGTTGAGCAGAAGCAAAGAAAGAAAAGTTGATAATGTCACAGATGTTTATAGTCAACGTCACTCTGATTTTCAAAACAGTAAGCTACCATATTTGGTTAGCAAACACTGGGTGCTTGTACATGTGATGAAAATTGCCCCTTTTTGCAGTTTAACTGTCAGCTTTACATGTATGGGGGGGTTGCAATTTAAA